GTGAAACCTGTTTTTCTTCAAATTTTCAGTCAAAGTCTGCTCTCTCCTCAATGTTACAGACTGCAGCTTTAACCCTATAAGAAACTGAAGTTTAATTAAACCTAATTGAATAGAAATTTCACTACATGCAGCTATCTTGATATATTTTAGTCCTTTGTCCTGTTTTTTATTTCACGCTTTTCTGTGCCACCTTGAAAACACACTGGCCCCCTCCAGGCCCCCTCCAGGCCCCCTCCTGGCCCCCTCCAGGCCCCCGGAGACATTTGGTCTTGAACCGCCACTTCAGGCGCTAGGACTGCCCAGGGGCGATTCTAGGATCAGAAGTTTGGGGGTGCTGAGCACCCAGGGAGCTGTCTGGTCAGGCAAGATACATTTCAATGTTTTCTACAGACATTTTCAACACATCTTATCTGACACTTTTGTTTTTGTGTGTTTTTGTCTTCATGGACGAGCTGTACCGACACTTACCTGGCTTTTCCTGACCTCACACCTTGCTCCTCTCCTTCACCTTATAAACCTCTCCCTCCTTGCAATCCTAAAATCAATTGTATTTAAACACAGTAAATATATACAGTTGTGCTTGAAAGTTTAGACACACTCTACACCATAAAGAAAAGGATAAATTCACAACAGTAATTCTAAAAACTAGGAAATTATATAAATAAAAACATACAAAATTAGGATTTAAATATTAATGTTGGATTGTGATTTTAAAAATAATAATGATAAAAAAACTTTCCCGGACAGAGAGCACCTTCTCATCCATGATGGATGGAAGGATGATGGATTCTTTTCAATTGAATGATTAACAGATTAATTATAGGAATCATACAGTAAATACAGCCTAACATGTCTGGATCACATGGCTGTTGATGGCATTCAGGAACAGGAGTTATAAACGGCTCCTAAAGGCCTTCATCCCCTTTAAAGAAATATCAAACACTGGATTAGTTGATCTATAGTGAAATTTTAGAGCTTTCTATCCATTACTGCACATATCTGCTGTAAAAACATTCAGACTGTTTCTGAAACACACCGTTGCACTGAAATGTTTGTGTTAATTTATCTCAGCAGTTAGTGTTCGGCTAAAGGCCCCGCCAACTAAGATAAGGTAAAAGAAAAAAAAAGAATTTGCATGTGATCTCCTAAACTTCAGTAGTATGGAGGACCAGCTCTACCATATTTAAAAATAAATACAGAAATAAATAAATGCTCAATAAATTAATAATCATACAATTAATTTCCCCCAAAAATACAATAAATAAATGAATGAAAGTAGAAATTAAATTATACAGTGAGACTTAAATGTATATAACTCTCAATTTGCTTCTTTATTTATTTACTTTTGTTATAATTACCTTATTTATTTATATGTTATAATATTTTTGTCTGTTTTATTCTTCCTTTGTATTTTTTACCCTATATATTTTTTTAATGTTATTTATTTGTGCCTCATTTTTACAGTTCTGTCTGTATTTCTGCCTCATTATGCAAAGGAGGGCTGTGTCTCAGAGGGTCACCTTCTGCCCGTTGGTTGGTGAGCATTTTACCGCATCGCTCCGATCTGCAGGCCCCCGGCCACAGCCACAACAAACATGGCTACCTACGGGATATTTAGTAACTGTTTTTGAAAACAATGCTAACGTTATAGCATTGACTTTATTATTTTTGGTTTGGACGCTGCTGAAAAAAAAAAAGAACTTAGCTGTCATATATATAGATGTGAACACACTGTTTATACCCCAATGCACCTTTTCTTCCTTTGGCATCTTCTTGTTCGTCTTGATTTTTTAAGCTGATGTAACGAGTAAATTTCTCCACTGTGAGATCAGTAAAGTCAATCAATCAATCAATCAATCAATCAATCAATCAATCAATCAATCAATCAATCAATCAATCAATCAATCAATCAATCAATCAATCAATCAATCAATCAATCAATCAATCAATCAATCAATCAATCTCATTCCCCAATGCAGATTGGGGATTCATCACTGAATATCCAGTCATCCACAGTCCATCAGTGCTTTCCTTAGCACATTCTAGCCTTGTTTATTTTATCTGTTTAGGTGTTGATGATGGTTTAGCTTTTCTGTATATAAATTCCATTTCCTTAAGGTGGTTTCTTACTGTTGGGTCAAAGACATTAACCCCAGTTTCCTCCCATTAGATCCTCATTTATCTTGTTGTACATTTTCTTTAAACATATCGCTTTCTGTCTTTCTCGGTCCTAACATTAAAACCTGGTATGATTTGGCTGAAGGGGCTGGTTTTCTCTGGTTAGGGAGGTGCATTGTCCTGCTCTTGGCTCGTTGCTTGGGTTGTCTGTTCTTCTCCTTTCTGGGAAAGGCGATCAGTACCTGGACATTGGAGCATATAGTGAGTGTGTGTGGAGATCCATTCTGGGGGGATGTGAGGGTTGGAATGTGTGATTTTTGACCCATCATCCTGTTTGTTCCAGTGATACTGTTCTTTCTCTCTATGTGAGTGTAGAAGCAGAATGTTAGGATTTTGGTAATTTTCTCCTATCATCCTTTCCCTCCTCTATTCTAATCACCTCCTTTTAATGGTTCACTTCACCTTTCTCCTTCTTTTCTTTATTTTCTTCTTTGTTTCCATCTAACTATCCACTGGATCTCAGAAAATGTTTTATAAAGCTATGTGGATACACATTCCAAGTGGAACATGGCAGTGCAAAATGTAAAGCTCTGTTGGTCACTTAGATAGCAGCCATAGGCAGCTGCCTAGGGCCCCAAGTTCCCTGGGGGCCCCATAAAACTCTGTTTACATGTATGGTTAATACAACTATTCCTTATTTGTGCACATTAATCATGTTTTTGATAAAAATCCTTTGGCTGAAATGCCATCAGAACGCTGATAATATTAAGTGTGTCTCAATACTATACTTTAGTAAACAATAGTATAGTCAAGTGTACTTGACTATACTATTGTTAAGTATATGAAATATAGTTTAGAATAAGTAAACTCTAAGTACACTGCTGGATTTCAAGTATGAAATTAATGCACTTTTAGTATACTTGAATAAACTATTTTTTGCTCAGGGTGGCCATACTGAGCTACTCTGTAAGGCCAGATAGAAAGATACTTTGTGCAATATGTAGTTGGAGGAAAATAAAATATTAATGTGTGAATGTTATGTAATTCTTATGGGTTTTATTTGTTTATTTATCCAGAATAGATCATTTTCTTCCTCAAGTGGATATAAAACAAATCACATGTGGGAAACATGACAAGAACAGTAGAGTGGAGTGATGGCACCAAACTACCAGCTTGGGATAAAATGAATGAGCTCAGAAAAAGCTAACAAAAGCTAACCTCAAAGCACAGAACCACCATATTAAACAAACAGCGACGTTTAAAGACATATTAACGATTATCTGCATAATTTACGTCATTCTTTTTAAACCCTTTCTGCTTTGGTCGCAATAATCCGCCTGCTGCTCATTCCAGGCGCGTGGGGAACAAAATAACGGGCGGACAGAATCTACCGGAAGCGGAAATGGGTCTCCTTTATTTTTGAAAGAGGGAAATTTAAAAGTGGGCAGCGGTAGGAATAACAATACATGAACGAGAGGAATACATTTAATAAAGACGATTGAAATATGATTCCGGTTTGTTGCCAACTGCCAATAATCCACCAGAAAGAAGAAGAATGAATATGATCCCAGACTAGGATTATTAATCTGAATATAAGGTAGGTTTACGGTCTGTTCGCTCTCAGCTCTTTAATGGCGGACTTTCATCTCACTGTTAAAAAAGGGGGTGGGGGGGTTTGACAGAGGAGGCTACAGAAAGCTTCTCACTGTTGTTTTTAAAAGTCACCTTTATTTCCAGGTTATTATGTTTTATTCAGCTAAAAGAAACTAGAATGTTTATCTCGACTTTTAAGGAAATATGTTTGTGCTTCTTGTTTAGCAGCTAACGTAATTGTTAATTTAATCATCTATTTCCCTGCATGAAAGTTTCCATATTATCTGCTTAATTTAAACCAATGTCTGCATCAAAGAACCTGCAGCACAGATTGTCTAAAAAATCTGATTTATGTAGAAAAACAACCTTTCAAAGTCAGCATTGGCAGATTGGATCTTTTTAAATAACACCATTATTTCTGCCAAGAAAACTTATCAGGATCCCTCTTTATTACGTTTTACAAAATAAAACAAAAAAAAGGTAGATTACTCTGCTACTCTTTGGTCACATTGCAGCTGCAGTGATCAAGATTTAAATATTAAATTAAATAATTAAATTAAACTCAGATTAGGCCTGAAACGGTTAATCTGATCAATCGATTATTGAAATAATCCTCAACTAATTAAGTAATTGATTATTTGTTAACTGCAGTATAGAGACTGTAAAACATGCATTAGAGCAGTAACTATATCAAAATTGTAAAAGAATATTTCAAAATTTAAGATAAAAAAAAACCTTTTGTTTGTCAACCTTTCTATCCAGAACTCCTTTAGTAAAACCATTTTAGTTTCACCTGTTTTAATTTAGTAAATATATTTTCTTTGAGGAACCATTGGCTGTCTTATTATTAATCGATTAATAAAATAAAATTGACAGATTGATTGATTTGGAAAGTAATCGTTATTTGCAGCGCTAGACCAGACCTTCATTTATTTCTACCAGACTTGTTTCTCTGTCCCAAGCTTAAGAATTTGGATCAATAATCAAGTCTTTCTGTAGAAGTAATTAAATCTCATAAAAACCAGCAAAGACTCCCAAAGCCTATGAGGTCGATCAATTCAATTCAGTTTATTTCTAAATATGTCATCTCAGGTCACTTTCCAGTTCACCTGATCATCCAGTCAGAGTTATTCAGTTTTCTATCTAAGGAAAACCAGCTGATTTAATCGACTTATTGACTTGAAGGCAATTCCTCACTTCGTCACTAAGCATGCTTATAGCATGCTTAGTGACAGACATAGAAAAAGAAGCATAGATACAAAAGGCAACCGTCAACCAGCTCCACAGGCGGCCCCGTCCAGGAAACACACAGCCAGGCAGACGAGCTCCGAGCCAGCTCCCATGTCAGAGGATGAAGAGAGCACATCCAGTTAGTCACAGTCAGAGAAACAGGACTACACTGAAAAACAGACCAAGCTCCAATTATTATAGTTTTTATTT